GTGAGGTGGAGTGGGTGTGGATGCGCGGTAGAAGTGGGTGTGTTGGTGGTGGTGTGCAGCTCCTTCACAGTCACACACCCAACCACACCCACACCCTCAATGGTCCTTTTCCTACATGCTGAGAAGTCATGATGTCTTTTCTTAACAGTCGGATGTTAGAAAATATAAGATCAATAAGTCAGAGTTACAAGCAAATTATAAAATGACCATGGTAATTTTTCTAGTGTATGTTTTGTTGACAAATTCATATAATATGAATCTGACTGATATCTCTTTTATCTGTCCATTGTTTACAACAGAATTCATATTAATCATTGTTGAACAATCTTAATAGATCACATCGAATTCTAATGGATCCTGACGGTTTCTGCTGGATCATGGCGGTTTCTGATGGATCCTCACGGTTCCTGATGAATCCTGAGAATCCTGGTAGATCCTGGCAGTTCCTAGGATCCACCAGGAACCGCTTTTTCCCCCTTGTGTGTGGCTGTGGGTGTCGGATGTGAATGGTTGTGTGGCTGTGAAAGAATTGCACACTACCACCCGCACACCTACACCTACCCACACACCTACACCTACCCACACACCTACACCACCCTCAGCCACATCCACACCACACTCACCCGCACGCACATCCACCTCATTCGCACATATACCTAAGCCCCATATCCATGCCCTATATGAAACCTATTGACTGGATTTCTGTTTTGTGGCAGAGGTGTCCTTTCTTCAATAGGAAAGAAATGTATGATGTGGGAAGAAAAGAAGAAAAAAAAACAATCGCATTATAGAAGCACAGACAGTAAAAGAGAACGAAGAGCGAATAAAAAAAGAAAAAGAAAAGAAAGAAAAAAGGAAAGGAAAAAATAAAAATCCTTTTTCTATGGGTGTCACTAGGATGCATGATGAAATAATGGTTTTTTAGTTAATGCCTATCGCAAATTTGCTCAACAACTGCAGAAAGGGTAAGGTGTATTCTGGTTGGTGGGTGTGAATGTTGGTGGCTGTGGGTGTGAGTGGGGGTGGGTGTGGGTGTGGTTGGGTGTGTGACTGTGAAGGAGCTGCACACCACCACCAACACACCCACTTCTACCGCGCATCCACACCCACTCCACCTCACACTCACCCACACACCTACACCACCCTCAACCACGTCTACACCCACCGCCCACAACCAGAATCACACCCACCATCCACACCCACCCCACATCCAGAAAAGTCCTTTCATCAGCAGGAAAGAAATGTATGATGCGGGAAGAAAAGAAAAAAAAATAATCGCATTATAGAGGCGCAGGCAGTAAAAGAGAACGAAGCGCAAATAAAAACAGAAAAAGAAAAGAAAGGAAAAAATAAAAATCTTTTTTTCTATGGGTGTCACTTGAATGCTTGATGAAATAATAGTTTTTTAGTTGATGCTTATCGCACACTTGCTCAAGAGTTGCAGAAACGGTAAGGTGTATTCTGGTTGGTGTTTTTAAATGAATGGGAACGGTAACCGCTAAATATGATGCGGTTTCTTTTGCTATAGGAGTAGCAGAAATAGGTCACTAGACCACCAGCGATGACGGTTGTGGATGGATACGGGTAGGGGTGTGAATTTTGTGTTTATTCATAGTAACACCCACATCTGCATCTACACTCAACTTGTACTCAGATCCGTACCCGCAGGAACACCCACATCCACGCGTGCATCCTTCTTCAACTGAAAGTTCATCAAACTTTTTTGGTGATCGATGGTGATAATTTCATTGATATTTAGTCTCAATTTCATGAATAAAAATTTTCTAAAGATCGCTTTATTTTTTTCATGTCGTATTGGATACTTTATGTTGCAATTTTGTATAAAAGAAAACTATCAAAAAGTACCACCATATTGCTTTATTGATTAGTTTGTTGTCATATCAACAGATTATTTGACAAGAAATTAAATACAAATTGGCACATATTTATTTTTTTTAAATTTTTTCCTTTGCATTTTCAACGAAATAAATTTAGTTTTAGAATAATGAACAGTGACATTTATTAATCAAAATAGAACTTGGAAGGTCGTTTGTTGTTTTGTATTGATCCAGTTCCGACAATACACGATGAAAAAGCGTATGAGCACAACGAGGTTATATCCTAGATCAGATTCGGGTAGGAATAATATTTTTTTCTCTATATATACGTATATATATCTATTCTTTTTTACCTTGGATAGCCATCGACATAAAAGCGCGAAAACGTGTTGCCGAGCTTTATAAATTAACTGATGAAATAACCAATGCTTCTAATGAAATAAATGAAATATATGCCAATAAAATCTATCGAAAATATAGACGGTTATTATCAGTTAATGCAAAACTAAAAAAACAATTAAGTCAATATCATTGTCGAGGTTGTAAATGTGTCATTCTATCAAATGGAGATGTACAACAAGATAGAAAAGAAGAACAAGATTATCATAATAATGATGATAGTGAAAGTTCTATCATTGTTGCAGATTATCAAGATTATCAATTAAAACAAAAATTTTCAACATCATCTCTGACCTCACATTCGATAATAAAACGAAGCAGAAACAATAAAAATCGTTAGTTAAGTTTAATTTATTTTAGTTTATTGACATTTTTTCAAATATTGGTTCTTTAGCTCGTATTACATACGATATTGAAGATACAGAAAATTTTGATGGTAATGACAGTCGATTTACTAGTAAGTTCGTACGATATTTAAAAAAACGAGAAAAAGAAAGCAAAATATGACTTTTGATTAGAAACAACGTTCAATAATAATTCTATTGATTGTCATGAAGAAGACGATGGTAATAATATTAATAATGATGATAATACCAATGATAGTTACACTATGAGTGATGAAAACAATGAAGATAAACTATTCATGGCGATAGATCCATATGAATTTGAAACAACAAATGATGATAATCAATTAGAAAATGAAATTAAAGAAGGAGGTAATGATTTTTTTTTCCAGAAAGTCAATAAAAAAGTCTCCTTGAGTTTGATGTACTATTCTTATTATTACAAATAAGCACTTTTATTAAAAGAGAGAAAAAACATTCGTTTGTTTTATTATCTTTCGAAAAGTAATTGGCAAGATGATAGGTATACTTATTATTAGGATTTTTTGTTGATGCTATAGATCATGGAGATCCCGATAAATTATGAATGACTAAGGAAGATTTCATTGACATAAACATCTCAATAAGATTAGTCTGTATAAAAATTTTCGAACGTAATATCTACAACATATAAAATTTGCAATATTTTGAAACGACTCTATCGAAATATTTCGAATTTGTTTATGCAAGTTAAGACACATAGAGTATACATCTATATATAGAATTTCAAGTCAGAATTCGATATTTCATCAGGAGTAAGTTATAAAAATGAGGCCTTTTTTTAGACATTGATAGGATATTAAAATAGATATTGTAGACATGTTCTTGACTAGAGATCTAGTGGACTTAGATTGTAAATTAGAAATTTCTAGGTGGAAAAAATGAAGCGGCTCAAATTAAGAACAGAACTACAAAACAAATTGTTCTCAATTGAAATTAAAGAACGAATCGTGGAATAGTTTTCTACAGATCGGCACCTGAAAAACAAAAACTAAAAGATTCAAGAGCTTAGACTAGGCTAGAACTACCTAGACTTAATAAAGAACTACTAGAAAAAAACATTAGTAGAATTGAGACTAAAAGCTTTAACTCTGCACATCTCTAGCCTCAAGAAAAGAAAATGAATTGAGACTTGAGAATATTTTTTCTTAAGTTTTGTCGTAGAGAGTCAGTCTAATTTACTAATTCAAATAAATGTTTTGATGAATAATTTATTTATAGATGATATGTTAGAGCTTGTTGATCTCTATAAAAACTATGATTTAATGCTTTATTTAAAATAAAATTTACAAAAAACTATTAAAATCATAAATCTTATTGTCAAATGACAAAAAAGATGAGTTTTAGCTATAAAATATGAAATCGTATTTAGAACTATTAATTAGAGACAATTCAAATATAATCTCATGAGGATAAATCTAACAAGTGAGGAGCAAGTTACAGGTTATTCGTTGATAGAATAGTTAAGATCAATTCAACACAGAATGGCATTATTATATATATATACTTAGGGCGTATCAAAAGTTCGTATCCTGATGTTTAAAGTTTTATAAAACAGTAAATATTGAACGTTTTATTATGGGAATATATAGTATCACGTCTCATCTTTAATAATCTATAGAGCAACTCTATCTTGGATTTAGTTCTAACATCCTGCTAGACTAAGCCTATAATTTAACGACTATACTAATATTTAACTAATCCATGTCGAATGTTCAGGTATATTCTGGAACTTTCCATATTTTCTATTAGTCACTCTCTCTCTCATCACATTTTATGACGTCATGTTCTAGAATATGACATTTCGAGTAAATATAGATGAGAGGTCGTTCACTATCAACTCATTTGTACTGCACCCGTCTTCAAATCGTGATAAAATCTGATTTCAACTTTAAAACAAGCTATCAAACATGACTGATGAATTTAATCGATATTATATCAGAATTCGAGCTATTTTGGGAATAGATTCAAAAACAATCTTCGACGAACTTACAGAAGCATTGGGGCCTAATACTCCAGCATATCCAATGGTCAAAAACTGGGCGAAACGTTTTCGTGAAGGAAGAGAAGATGTCAGTGATGATCCTCGATCTGATCGTCCGATTTCGGTACTTAAAATGAAAATATTGAGCGCATTCAACAAGTTATCGAAGATGACCGACACTCAACTTATGATGATATTACGGTTGAGGCTGGTCTATCTCGTGGTACAATAGAACGAATTATTCATGATTGTCTAAAGATAAGAAAAGTTACATCACGTTGGGTTGCTCTTCAACTCACTGACGAGCAAAAACAAGAACGATTTAGAATTTGTCGTCAAAATTTGGAGAAATTCAGAAACGGAATATGACGGTTATGTGATATTATTACTGGTGATGAGACATGGATTTATCACAGACCGATTGGTCGGAAGTCAAGCAATTCTACCTGGGTTGGTGAAGATGAACCACCAAGGACTATTGTTCGTCGGAATAGATATGAACCTAAAACATTGTTTTGCTTCTTCTTTAAATCCACTGGTCCTATTCTTATACACAAAGTAGATAAAGGCAAGACCATCGACGCTAACTACTNCTCGTTAAATACCTAGGTATAGGTCGAAAAATCAGTAAAACGACCATAACTTTTCAAGGAAGAGCTGTCAGCCCAAATCCTTTTAGGCTTTTTGCTATCTCGATACCCTCTATCAAACGACGTACGAATGAAGAGAATCGGCGTTGGACACCTCGGGAGGTTCCCTCGTGAGGACTATTAGAACAAGAAAAACGACAATTTTCTCAAGATGTTATTGAGTTTTCATGAGATACAGGCTAGGATATTCATAAAAAGCATTCACTCTACTTCTTTCATAAGTCAAAAAGGACTATCAACTCCTAAGACGCGAAAGATCTTATTGTCACAAATATAAAAAATGTACCACTAAAATAGAAGTTCCGAAACATGAATGAAAATAGTTGATAGTAAAAATATAATTCGTTTTTTCTTATGAAGATATAGAATGTCCCTTGGAAGGAAGATTCGGCTTTTCAGGGTTTACATAAGAATTGTTGTTACAGAGAAGCCTTTTGGTTGATATAAGATTATCTTTTCTTCATGTCCACTCTAGGTGTGCTCAGAGGTTCTTAGCTCTCAAATAGTGACACACTGTTTAGGATTCTGCCAGAATCACGCTTCCAGTTTTGTGCGAATCCTGAAGCTCCATGGTTATACACTTTTCCCCCGACACTCATGGGCTCATGGCAAAACCCTAGTTGAAATTTTATGTTAATCTTGTCAGAATTTTAGAGTATCTTGGATTGAATCATGCCAGAATTACTAGATACCGTTACCGCAACCTTTTTTCGCGACTGACTGACTTTCTTAGGAAAAAATACACGAATCCGGGGCGAATTTTTGACTTAGAGGAAAAATATCGAAAGAACGAAAGGACGAAGAGTCGGAAGAGGAATGTTTCTTTAGCGAAATGTCTGGAAAAATTATATGAATATGAAAACGATCGTCAAATCGTTTAGAAATTTTTGAATCTGGATAGCAAAGCATATAGTTTATGACATGAATCAGTGTTAACATTGTGACAGAAATCAAATATAAGTGATCAGCAAGATCGATAAAAATCTCATTTTTCCATTTAACAACTGCAAAAGTCAAACCTTCTAACTGGTTTATAACATTAATGATACTATCATAGTATCATTTACCAAGACCATCTATATGATGTTCACTAGCAATGCTTTTCGCTTGTTTTAGTCTTTCTCCTGAATCTTCCCAAAACCAAATATCCATTCGCTGTACATTTTCAATATTTAGTAGTAGGGTTTAGTGCATTCAATCTAAAAGAAAGTATTCATCTTCTGTTCGTGAATATTTAGCTTTATATGAACTGATCAATGAAATAGATAGATCTTAAAGAGTTACACCTGTTGAAGATGTGACAACTTCAACCACAACGATAGAATTTTATGTTATATGATAGTCCTTCCTACAACTGTTCTAAAAGGCTTCTATCAACTAACTCTGATCTCTATTACCACTCGATAGAAACCTAGTCTAAAAGCATAATAAAAAAATGACAATCAACTGTAAGTGATTAGAGCGACCATTCCCCGGAGGCGTCATGTTTTCCTATATTTTTTGACTTCACTATTTACATTTCGACATTTTTCCATCAGACTGAATCCGTACTGGTTTGCTAATGGATTCAGAATGGAAGCACTCAAGGTTCAGTAGTGAATTTAGGGACGAGAGAGGCGGATGATCACCGCTAGTCCCAAAAAACTTTTTCCGTTTTTCTCAGCAGAAAAGTCTTAAAACTAAACTAATGCTACTTTCTATGATAAACGTTAGGAATGGTAACAAATATTCCTTTCTATATTTCTTGAAAGTTTATAAATATTTTCATTATAAAGCAGCAGATGACCGATAGTTACCTCTGTGTACAGTAGTCCGTGAACTATTGGCATGCACCACCTTATATATGCAGTTAACGGCTTATGGATGCCACCACTATATCTTAGTGAATGACATATAAATACCTTCCTTACATAGTAGTTGATCATCAAAGGATACCCTTATGTATAGTATATGATGAAGCAAGGGTACCTTCCATATATAGTAGTTGATGACACAAGGGTAGTCCAATTTATAGTAGTTGATGATCTAAGCGAACCCCCAATATACAGTACTTGACGATCTAAGGATGTTTCCAATATACAGGAGTTGATGACCTAAGGGTACTCCCAATATGTACTATATGATAATCCAAAGGTGCCTCCAATTTTTAGTATATGATGACCCAATGGTACCCCCAATATCTAGTAGATGATTACTTACGGATACCCCCGTTCCACAGTGCATGAAGAATTATGGGTACTTTCATAAATGTTTATTCACTTTTATGAATTTTTAAGAAAATTTTTTTTATAGTGAAACATTGACTTTAACTTTAAATTTCTTAAAGTTAAAGTTTAAAGTGGGACTTTAAACTTTAACCACTTTAGTCTGTAAAGTTTAAAGTTAAAGTGCCACCCCTAACTATAATTCTCCATCTGATAATCACAATAAAATTGTAATCAAACCATCTCATAACACCTTAAAACTCAAAATTGGTTAGCCCTATCTCGTACATGATAGGTCACGCAGAACATGATTGAGTAGGCGCATTGTTTGACAAAAATCTAGCATTCTTATTGCTTGCTTTTTGAATAAGAGCCGATTTTGACAGCTGTCTTCTTCATCCAAGGTACCAATAAAATTCGTTTATTTTCTTTTATCATTCATGAGTTGTGCGCAAGTAAAATCACAGCCCAACGTGACATATTCATTTTACAGTGACATCCATCATTAAATAATACAGAACAATTTGACAGGTCTGATTCATTTAATTTCGCAAGAATGCCTAAGTAGTTAGTGCAAAAGTAATCATCATTTATACTACTATCTATTTTTGACAGATTGACTCAATTTCAATCATTTTCATGACGTTTGTGAAATTTTACTTGCGCAATTACATAATGTTCTGTTTTTCTCCTTATAAAAACAAGCATGAAATATAACCACCTTATACGTTCTTACCTTGAAAGAAGAACAAACCAATTTTATAAACTAATTATTAATTTCTAAAGTCATGGATGATAAAAACAACGCAACAAAAACAACCATAACTATTACAGATCAACTAAATTCTCTTCGTTCAATTTTACGATCAGATGATTATCTCCAAATTCAACCATCAGGAGATTATGAACAAGTTCGTATTAAACTCGATTATGACATACAAATAAGTTTTCTTTTTGATTCACTTAATATTTTAAATAAATCATTAACTATTAATAATGTACATAACTTACGAATAACAAAATCGTCTAATAAATGTCAATTAAATAATGAACAATGGACAAATATTCGTAAATATTTTGATGAACTTATCCAAAATCAAAATGAATCTTCTTCACTTCTATCTATTGTTCAATCAATTCAAGGTTATTTATTAAAAAATATAATGGTAAATCAAAAATCCAAGCAAAAAACAAAAAAAATAATGGAAACTACAGCCGTTGAGGATGTATCAACAATGTCAAATACATTTCGTGGTGCTGATTTAATATTTAATCGAATCCTACATGATAAATCAATTGATCGATCACAAGTTATAATTGGTTATGAAGATCGTTTTACAGGCATTCATGAAATTGCATTTAATGAATTTAAGAAAGTGCATGAGCATGAAGTAAGCTTATTTAACTCGAATACATAAAATATATTTCAATTATTTCTAGTATGGTGTTCCAATGCATCGTATTCGATATTTTAAAATTAATGGATGTATTGTGTGGGATCGAACAAGAAAGTTAGATATATTAACTGGTAGTGAACAACAAAATGAAACAACTTATGGTATGAAAAAAAAATCTATTATAGCTTCTCTATTCCTGATCTTAGAAAATGTTAAGATTATAATAATTCTTTCCGAGTACCTTTCTTCTTTATCAATAGATAAGGGTTCGACTATCGCCTATACTTTCTTAGTATCATTGAAAAAAAAATTCCAATCATATCCTCGGGAACTAATGAACATATTAAGAATTGAATTTCATAGTTCTCTTCAAAACATCTATATTCATTTTCTTATTTCGTTCAAATCCTTTTTTTTTCTATATCCTAGATACAGAGGAAAGACCCATTCTTGTACAAGGTCTCTATCATTTTGATCAATCTCTTCAACAATGGATTATTCAATATCCACACATAACATTAACATCAGATAATCCAAAAGTTCCATCAACAAATGAAACATGTCTTCCTGAACGATGTCATATTGTCACATGGAATATTTTATTCGATTATTATCAACCAGCACTTATATATACTTCTCAACGATATCGATCAATACTTGATACACTTAAATCACTTTTACCTGATATTATTTGTTTACAAGAAGTAACTTATAATTTTCTTAATCTTCTTTTAAATGAAATATGGTTACAAGAAAATAATTATTATATTATTATCATGAAAAATATTATTGATAGTGATAAAGAAAAATCATATGGCCAATTGATGATAATGAAAAATTTTCGACCTCGATCATTTTCTATATGTCCACTTGACCTATCTGATAATGATGGAGAAACAGCAGTAGCAACGACAGTAACAAAACAGAAAATAACAAAAGAACTAATAATANTTAACAACTTACTCAATGATGATTTCGCTTCATTAAATTTTTGTTCATTGTCAAATTGTCCAATTGTCATATGTGGATTATAACTACTTCGTTTATTTTTTAAACATTGTGGAAATAATTTAATTAGTTGTTCATGTAATTGTTTAACATCTTTCAATGATTGGTATTGAAAAAATACCAATTGATCCATTAAATATTGATAATAATCAACGTATTAATCAATCTGATCATTATGCTTTACAATTAATTATTAATTTTCGAACAAGATCAATAAGTCATCGTTCAGGACTTGTTATATTACCAACATTAAATACATGGTCAATAATTCATTCATATAGTAAAGAATTTTATCCATCTGATGATCTATGGCCATCACATATTAATTTATTATGGCCCTTTTTTGATTTAATTGATTGTCAAGCTGATCAAGAAGATATTCTTTTACGATTAAGACTTTTATTAAGTCAATATTCATCATTTTCAATAAAAATTAATAAAATTGATTCATTTATTGAAAATAATATTATTTATATGAAAATGAATGATGAATCAACGAAATATGTTAAACAATTACATGAACAACTAATTAAATTATTTCCACAATGTTTAAAAAATAAACGAAGTAGTTATAATCCACATATGACAATTGGACAATTTGACAATGAACAAAAATTTAATGAAGCGAAATCATCATTGAGTAAGTTGTTAAGAGAGATAGTAGACCAAAGAAAAATCAATGTATCACTTTAGTTTAATCATGTTTTGTATTTTCGGATAATCCTATTACAATAACTATTAACAAATTTTTTAAAACTTTTTTTGTAGTTTTACATGAATCATTTGAATTTCCTGTTGAATATATTTACGTTTTACAACGACCACATGATAATGATACAACACCATTTCATATTGCTTATCAATTACCATTAGGTCCTGTACTTCAACGAATAAATTTTAAACAAATGAATTCTGTTAATATTAAATTACAAGAATTTTTTCAAACAATGAATCTTTATGAAACAAGTCAATCATATAAACGAAAACAAGAGAAATTTGAAAAACTTTCATCTTGTTTTCAACAAATGTTTAATAAAGATACATTACATTGTTTTACTACTTCATTTTTATCATATGGTAGTTTTCGTATTGTAAGATAAAATAACTTATTAGAAAGAATTTTTTTTTTTTAATGAAATATTTTCATTTCAGGGTATTAATGGACAAGATCTTGATACAGTATTTGTTTTAAATGAACTTAAATTAGTAAATGATAAAACAAATTTTGATGAATCATTTCTTCAATTAAAACATGATTCAAATGCATTAAATAATCATATTGTTAATCTACTTGAAACACAAATAAATGGAAATCTCAAAGATGAAATTATTTTTTATCGAAAAATTCAAGCATTATTTCCAATAATATCAATTTTATTTAATGATCAAACAAAAGTAGAAATTTATGTACAAACTGATATAAATAACAAACATTCTTCGAATGTTTCATTCTCTTCTCAACAGTCCATACACGGGGTAAGATAAATAATAGATCATTCTGTTGAACTTTAAATCCTAGTAATAGTAAAGAGTATGTATTTCATTGTAATAAGAAAATAGAATAATGTTATGAAAAATGAAAAAATAGATTCCGATAGTAATATCATTTATGTAATGATAAAGCTTCATCGATTGGTATATTTTTCATTATAGGTACATGATATTGAACGTCTGTTAACATATGTTCGTTGTCCACCTATATTTCAACATCTGTTGACATATATTCGTACTTGGGCTCAACATGTTGGTCTTTATGGACAAGTATACGGTTATTTATGTGGCTATTCTTTGGCTATTTTATGTGCATATATTTGTCATACATATTTACCATCAATGAAATCTCTTTCATCAATCGAACAATTTTCTATTGATGAATTTTTCTCATTAGTTCAACATTTTTTTTCAACTTTTGCAAATTTTAATTGGTCATTACAAGCATTTTGCCTATATCCAAAATCTTATAAACAATTAAATCCATTAGAAAAATCATTAATACATAATCGAGGTTCGATGCGTATTATATCACCAATTCCACCTTATAATAATACAGCACGTGCAACTATAAATTCTACTCGTGATTTAATTATTCAAGGTTTTCAACGTGTTCTACAATTACTTAATACAATAAATACAATTAGTTCAGAAGATAAATTAAATGGATTAAAACAAATTCTTGAATTAAATAATGATTTTCCAAATGAAAAAATAAAATCACTTATTCAATTAACACTTTCAAGTGAAAATAAAAATGAATTAGATGAATGGATTGGATGGATGAAATCACGTTTAGTACATTTTATCAATGCTTGTGAAGAAGGATGTCATTTAACTATTCAAACACAAAGTACAATTGAATATAAATCAAATAATACTGAAGCATTATATTCTATTGGTTTTCAACTTGATCCACAAACATTAATTCAAAATCGAAATTTTTCTAGTTGTTTAAAGAAATTCCTTGACCAATTTTATTTATATTCAAATCAGAAAGAATCAATGAAATTTACATATAAAATAATCTCAATAGATGATTGGAAACTTGAACGAATGCAACCAAAATCACAAAGAACAACTAAATAAATTATTTTTATTTTTGTTTCTTAAATAAACAAATAAGATTTTATTTGACTGTTGACAATAAATTTTTATTAGAACTCATCATTTTTATTTTTATGCTCGATGGAAATTGTCAAAATAGACAATTTGTATAAGAATGTGTTCATTTCTTTGTACATTGAACTAAAACCCTTTTTCATGTTCAGTTTTGTTCAACAGGATCGAATTCTATTGTTAAAAAATGAAGTGTCCTTTGATATTAAAATACTCGATCATAGTCAATGATGATTGTAAGTTCGATTTCTGCTGTTCGACATCTTGTTCAGCATAGTAATAGTTTTAAAGATTCTAAATTGTGTAATTCGTCAGCTCAAATGTCAAATTACTGAATAAAATATCTTTTCACGTATGAGATTCAAAAGATTATTACAATTTTTTTTTCGTATTATTATTCGAATGAATTTGAGTAAAAACACCCTCTTATCTTATAAAGTAATTATATTAATAGGTTGAAAAAATCGAATTTAATCTTAATTGTATTGTTGTTTATGAAGAAAGTTAGTGTTGATCTCTGTGCACTGATGTCAACGACAGTAGTACAATTAAGGAAGATGAAATTTCAATCGCAGAAAATCTGAAACTCTCTCCGTAGATGTCAAGGTTTGGGACTATTCAAAGACGAAATGAGGTAAGGATGGGTACGTATCAATTTCTGAATGGCGACAAACACATAAGAGATTGAATCGGCGACCAAAGAACAGATAGCGGTGTGATCAATTGGTCCAGTGGTGCGATATACATAGAGTTGGCTGGATCGACAAGAGTGGAACAGGTAACAACACGATGGCTTGGTTCAGTAGCGCCAATCACACAGGTAATTGGATCGATAACAGGTTAGAGCATCTACACATGGCATAGTGTTCATAAATACGAGTTAAAATGTTAAAAAAACCACTCATCATGAATTAACTGAGCTTCCTCCCTCAATCAGAAAACTATTTTTTGAAAAGAAGCGAAAAATTAATATTGAGTATACTCCATTTTAAAAACTGTTTTCAGAGCTTTCAAAGAAAAATCAACTTTTCAAACTTCTTAAGCTTTTTTCTTCAAACATAGTTTTTGCACAGCAAAATTAAAATAACTTTCGTCTAGTTTGAGCTTTCCCGATAGATTTATTTTTTTTAAAGGTGTCGACAAAATTTAACTTTTCGTGGGACAGAATTTTGATTTATGACAGCTATGTTGAGAAAAGTCTAGTTTACTGTGCTTTTGACATAGTTTCGCAGACAAGTTCGGTAAAATGCTTGTAAAAATTGAATTAAATGGAACTTCGAAATTCTTTTCGACTAAAAGTTTCGTATGGAGGCTAGCTTTAATTTGACACCACTACGACCTCAATCTCTTATAGCCAGCCATGAAGTCACTTCTATTCTCATGGCAGTTAGAAAATTGACCATAACTCTAGTTTAGTAAGACATATAAAGCTGAAAATTTTACGATAATTGTTTCTCAGTATACTCATTCATTCCTGAAATTTTCACTTGATTCCTATGTTTCAAAGTGGTATTTCAATTCTGAGCGGGAGGACCTTAATTTGTATTTCCACGAAGAGTCGACTAACGTAATAAATGACCAATCTTTGGCACAATTCAAAGAGGGAATCAAGCGTGGACAAGGTACGTTTCACTTTTCGAAGGGTAACAAATACATAAGTGATTAACTTAACGACAGTAGAACAGGTGAATGTGTCTTCACATGGTCTAATGGTGACAAGTCTGAGATAAGACGTTTAAAAATTGCTTGTTCTTCCTGTAATCACTGACTCTCATCATGTACTGAGTTGAAATAATACATGAACAGTGGTCGGGTTAATTTGAAGATACGAAAATGAGTGGTTTCGGCAAAACATACTATTTAAATGGAACTGTTTCAGGAAGGGATATGGGTTAATGGCTTGTTTCTTGATTTTTGAAGTGCTAATTGTTTTCTCATTACTAATAACTGACAGTATACGGACTGTGCGATTTTTTCTGATGTCTTTCATCACTTTTATTTAAGATAAATGAATATCAGAAAAACGAATCGAATAGGAAACTTGTTTTACAAATAGATCAAGCAGTTATATATGAAGCACGCTAATTCGTGTATAGAATGGAATCCGAATTTCTTACATTTACAATTTCTATTCAATTGATTGGACAGCAAAAAGTCTAGCTTGTAATGTCAAAATATTATTTTTGTGGCACAAGACCATTCAAATAGCAAAAAAAATATATGTAAGATTGATAAGCTGGAAAATCGATCGAGGGTGTGGGGTGTGGGTGGGTTTTGATTTTGTTTTACTCGCCACACCCACACCCACACCTCACACCCATAAATCAATTAAAATATCTGAATTAAAGAATATTTCTGCATTGTTTAACGATGAAAAAGCAAAACATAAAATATAAGTAAATTTTCGATAATTAAACATTTTGTTAATTGTGAAATAAATTAAAACAAAGTTCATTTCTACATGATTAACTCTTGATCAAAATACGATCGGTTAATAAGTAATTTGTTTAAAATTTATAGAATAAAAAATGATATGTAATTCATGAACTTATTATCTTCCAATTGATGTAAAAAGATTTCTAAGAAAATTCCAATAATGACTTGAAATAATCATATTATATTCAAATTTGATTATATCATTTTAGACGAGATATTCTACTGTACAGTTTTCAATAAACTCTTTATTATAAAATCAATATTACGTTAATAATGACAATCAAATCTAAATGACTTTAATTTTTATTATTTTAATTAGACTTATAATAGATGATAGATTAGTATTTATTCAACAAATCCATTTTTCTTTGTATTTCAGTTTATAGAAAGTAATTGTTTGATATATCTGTAGCTCTTTCTCAAACAGTATTCATTGGTTATTAACAAAAAAGTTCAGTTTCTCATTTATCAACAGTCAAATGTCCACTTATCAAGCTATTTAAAAAAAAAACTTTTTTCAAAATTTGAAATAAAAGTAGTATGATTATGAATTCTACATATATACATATATATCTTTCTATTTCTTTAAATATTCAAGGGAAAATCATTTAAATAAAAAAATCGANGATCATTGGGATAACTATACAATAGTTGAACCTCAAGAGCTATTCAGGAATTGTCTAATTTTCTTCCCATAGCTACGAGATAAAACATTTTTTTTCTCCACTTTCTTTTCCTCTTAAGCGATGTGACGCTGTCATAAAAATACCAACTGATATTATAACTCGTTGCATGAAAATATAACTAGGGTGTGGGTGTGTGGGTGTGGATGGGTGTGGGTGTGGGTGCGGGTGTGGGTGTAAGTTATTTAGAGAAGATGGAGACCCAGACTCACCCGTATACCCACACCCATACCCACTCCCACAGTCCATGCCCACATCCGCCACACCCACACCTTAGTTATATTTTCATTGCTTCTCACCCAGTCTCAGAAAGTCTTGCTACTACAATATATATATCGAACAATTGACCTATTAAATCATTGTTTCCATGTTGACTGAACTGTTCTTCATTATTTTTGATTGTTTTATATAATCATGTAGCATTAAAATTCAGAACATACCTGATGATGTTAATGACTATCTAATCAATAGTCGAAATGCGATAAGAATTCTTATTGTCAGCTCAAATATTTTCGTGGTGACCGACCACTACAAATATTCTTGTGTATCGATGATGTTTTGCTTTGACGGTATAAAAATGAATATTGTCTAAAAACAACTAGTAAAAGAATTGGGATCATTGGGATAACTATACAATAGTTGAACCTCAAGAGCTATTCAGGAATTGTCTAATTTTCTTCCCATAGCTACGAGATAAAACATTTTTTTTCTCCACTTTCTTTTCCTCTTAAGCGATGTGACGCTGTCATAAAAATACCAACTGATATTATAACTCGTTGCATGAAAATCAATAAACTCACATGATAAAGAACCTAGGCTCAGACAAACACTCATAGAATGAAGCCCACGTTTATTGACTAATTAGTGTTCAATACAAAAAAAGTATCATTCAATAGTACAAGTTAGAAAGCAGCAATTCCACCATATGTAGCTAAAACAAAGACGTCGTCACTGCGTTTAGTAACCGCTAAATGAACATATGACAATTGTGTGTAATCAAGAAATGAAAATTGATCAACTTTTGCATCAGGGTAATTACATTGACACGATGCATGATTGAAACCTTTTGTTTTCTTCGCCAACTGTTCAATATTTACCCGATAAAACGAAATTGGACTGTGTTTCGGAACCAAATCTTTTAATATGTAAGTATAATTGTATAACACAGAATCAGATAATGCTTTATTTGACAATTGTTCAACGGTCAATTGATGTGTATCAAAATCGAAAATAAGATGATTGTAGAAGCGTAACAAACCTCGAACTCTTTGAAATCGATAGGTGCCACCTAGTCCACAATGACAAGCTGGTTCCATGAAAGGATCTTTGGAAGATATCATCCGAAATAGACTTGTTCCTGAGTCTTGTTCAGTCTGTTTGAGTAAATGTTCCCTATAACTTAATGCTGTATCTTTTTCATGACCGAAATCTTGTGATCTAAAATATTGATTAACAAGATAATTCTTGTCGTCAGCCCAAGCATGCTGACGTTGATCACATAGCAGTCTTGATCTATATGATTGATTTTCATCATCGCTTGCTTCCAAATCCAATGAATCGGAATCATCTATCGTTAGATGAATACATGATAAAAGATCTTGTCCAATAAATTGTGATTGATGTCGATTTGTTAAATATGTTCGATCAACGCTATGATCAAAATCAACTTTCGGCTGGCGTCTTTCTTTCTCTTTTTGTTCCACTCGATATAAAGAACCATAGCAATTTCGATTGTAGAATGCATCGGCCAAGACTCTTTCCATGTGTACTTCGCATACTTCTTGAGTATTTCGATCGTATCGAACGATGTACATCGTTGAACCTTTTCCATGTCCTAGTAGAAAGAAAGCATAAACAGCCGCTACTCGACAGCATCCATCGATATGTTGATAGAAAAAATCTGAATTAGAAAAACGAAATAAAGTTTGACTTCCATATTGAGTTTGAATGGTTGGAATAAATTTCGGTCGAGCTGGATCAGCGATAAAAGCTTTTGTTTCTTGTGCATCCCAAACAATTTTCAACATTTGAAATTGTGGAAAGGCAAAGATTAAATGTTGAATATCTTGTTCATGCAAATGTTTGAATATATGAAGCCAAAGTTCAGATGGTAGCTGATGAATGAGTGATTTTTCTTCGACTTTATTCACGGTTGATTGTTTCAATTTGGATTCAAGTAAACGTGGATAACAATATCGAATCGATAATGAACGTTCATAGAGTTCTCCTGTTTTCACTGTTTTATCGACGGCCATGTCAGAATCATTGTAACTTTCAAGTTCATTCTGTTGAGCTTCACGAAAAAAATTCAAACAAGCAAGATAATCTTCTTTCTCTTCTGGACATATGGCAAATCCCAATGGTTTCTCTTTTCTTTTCACTAGTACGTCGGTTCGCAATACTAGACGTTCAGTTTGAACAAGCGGATTCAGTATTTCTGGTGGCGTTGCTTCATGTAAGAGATTATGTGTAAATAGAACAGCAAAACCTTTCTTTGGTTTTAATGTAATACATTCAAAACCATTTTCTAGTCCACCACAAGCTTCGATTTCTTCTGCAATGGTCAATCCTTTCACATCGGATTTCGACGATTGTTTAGGAAAGTAAAACTTTGTTTCACCTTTTTCATAATTATCATTCAAATAAATCAATAAACTCAATAACGATCGTTCATCACCACTAGGAGCATATTGAGCATCTTTATGCAGACCGAAATAATCTCCATGATTGTATTTATTCAATCGCATAGCCGGGTTAACTCCACTCATTGTCCATTGACCTTGAACATTGAATCCTAATGGTTTTATATGACGAACTAACTTTGTTAATTTATTACTGAATTTTAAACGTCGCCATAATGTTCGACCTAATCGATCATCCATGACTACTAATCGAGAACTATTTCGTTTTCGAACATCATATTTCTTGGACATCTGTTCAAATGTTTGTTGTCGAATATTACTGAGAATTTCATCGCATTCATTTGAAGTCAATAAAGTACCCAATTCGATTAGGATCAGATCATTTTGATGTTTGATTCGATTTAATTTGATTCCATCAGGAATTTTTGTGGGTACATTATAATTGATCAATAATGAACTGGAAATGCCTAAATCTGTACTTCCCAAAAATTGATGACGATTCATCTTTTACAATTTGAACAATATATACAAAACGTTTTCTCTCTTTTTCACAACAATTTCTCGTTATTTTATAGTAAAACTGTGTATGTTATTGCTCAACATTTATGCAATGTCTTGACAAAAAAACAAACCAAACAAAACTTTTGTGATTGGTAAGTGAATGAACGAATGAGGGTACAGATAAGACAATCAGTTTCAACTCAGGTCAGACTTGATCGGTCGCCAAATAAATATTTTAGCTTTGAATGGTACAAAATGTTCACAGATAGTTTGATGCCAAATACTAATACATTCAAATCCATTTTTACTTTTACATTCTTCAGATGCAATATTGTTGTAAGGCCAATAAGTGATATTCGTACGTAAACCATCAATACTATGGCTTTTAGCAAGTGTGATTAAACTACTTGCAATACCTAGACCTTGATATTCAAGCGATACACCTGTTTTTGCTAAATAATGAAAATGAGGAGATTAGATGAATTCATTCCATTGTTTAGGTGTTATAACACTCGGATCAAATTCAATGTGACTATATGTAGAATCCATATATTGAAAAAGACCAGTCAGAGATAGTAATAATTGATAACCAGCAAATTTATTTTTATTATAATCAATAACACATAATAATAATGATCTTGATGTAGATAGTAATTTCTTTAAATGATCTATCGACCATTGAAAAATAAGAAATCCTCGATTCGTATCATAACTGTTTATTTCATCTTGATCATTGATTGGTTTTCGAAAATTTTTCAATAATAAACTGGATTGACATTCAATAACTAGTTGACAAATATTGTTAATATGTATATGAGAAATATTGATCACATAAGTAATTAAATCATTTTTCAATTGTTGTTTGCAAACTAAACCTCCTGCTATGTCACATTCAAATAATGATAATAAGGAACCATCCATATTAATAGCAATCGCTTTCTTTCTCTCTAGATTGAGTTGATAGACTTGATTTCTTGCGACATTTGAAAAGGTAGTATGCCAACGTATATAGCATTTTGCTTTATCTTCAGTAAAAGAATATGCACTTTAGCTTATTACCATTAAAATACCATATCATATATGCAACTGGGCAGATAAACGATAACAAACGCAAAGAAGAAACGAAAAACGAAGAAACATGTGACATGTAGCGTGACTTATGTGAACTTCAGCCTATACCTCGCATTTTACTTCAATCGTTCTTCTTTACATAGGGAGTGTGTGTAGTGCGATGTCATCAACCAATTTGATGCCTAAATGGCAATTACAGATACTAGTAGCAATTAGTTATCTTATTTGGACTATTTCGATCATAATCGGTATTATTGGTTATCTTTTTGACTGGCTTATTTCCAATTTGTTCGATCAAATAGTTGCCAAAAATAGACCGAAATTAGAATGGACAAGTGATAATGAAGATAAGCATTATGCAGTTATTATCGGTGCTGATTTTTCGGGTTTAGGAATGAGTATTAAATTAAAACAAATGGGTATGAATAAATTTGTGGTATTAAAACGTCATTCACATGTTGGTAGTACATGGTATGCAAATCGATTTCCAGGTTGTCAAGTCGATATTCCATCGAATCTATATTCGAATTCATTTGAAATGAATCCACAATGGAGTCATCATTATAGTCGTCAATCAGAGCTTGCGGACTATTTAGAAAAATGTACAGATAAATATAATATTCGTTCACATATTCAATTTGATACGACTGGTACCCGATGTGATTGGCTTGACGATCGATGACTATAGTGAGTGGCAACTGTACATAAAAAAAGTGGTAAAGAGAAATATTATTGTGGTCGTCATCTGATTGGAGCTTATGGTATACTATCAAATGCATCGTATCCAACCGATACCAAAGGATTTGAAACATTTGAAGGAGAAATGTGTCATACGGCCGAATGGAATGACAAAATTAATTTTCAAGGAAAACGAGTTGCTCTTGGTTAGTACCGGTTCAAGTACAATTCAATGTGTACCTAAATTACACAGAAACTTTGGTGCTTCACATTTATATGTTTTTCAACGAACAGCACCTTGTGTGACTCCGTTAAAGAATCGAGCCATGACTCCATTCGAAAAGAAACTTTTCGCCACTGTACCATTAATTCAAAAATTCTTTCGAGCTTGTGTCTATTGGAGACTTGAATCAACAGTTTTCTCGTTCATTTATCGTTGGCCTACCTGTTTCGTTGCGCAAAAACTCGTTAGAGATATATTTCTCCGTCAAGTTAAAGGTCCTGAATTACGCCAGAAATTATCTCCAACATCTGATTTCGGTTGTAAACGAATACTGGTCAGTAATGATTGGTATTCAACATTACAGCAACCTAATGTTACACTGGTAACAAATCGAATACGTCAAGTGAAACCACATTCCATTGTTACTTATGATGGAAATGAATATCCAGTTAATATAATCGTGTGGGCGTGGGTGTAAGTGTAGGTGCGAATGTGGATGTGGGTGTAGGTGCATGTGTCAGTGTATAGGTGTGGGTGTGGATGTGGGTGTAGGTGCATGTGTCAGTGTATAGGTGTGGGTGTGGATGTAGGTGCGGGTGTGGGTCTATAGGTGTGGGTGTGGGTGTGTGAGTGTGGATCTAGCGCGTGAACCACCCGCACCAGATCCCAGACGTCACACCGACAGCAATGT